TTATGCTGCGCAAGCAGTCCGACAAATCAACAGGAATATGACACCAGGGCAGTCATCCGCCACAAACACGCGCACTAATACCAGCGCACCGCAAGTGATGACTCAGCGTAATAACGAGCACGACCAGGCTGCAGTATAATATTAGTTTTAAGTTGAAGGAATTCTTATTTGTAAATCCAACAAGAGAGGTGCATAGCACCGCAACATAAATGTTAGTAACTAAATAAAGAAACACCATAGCAGTGTGAAATAAACTTTAACTTCTAACATTAACTTATATATATCTATCAGCGTAGAATTCTGAGCCGATTTAGCCCAGTTCGTCTGTCCGTCTGTTGTAATCACGCTACAGTCAAAACGAATTAAGATAGGAAGCTAAAATTTTGCACAGATCTGTCTTTTGTCTGCAGACAGGTCATGTTCGAAGATGAATTATCTTGTTTACATTAAAAACAGGGGCCAGATCACCGCATTCGTCATTGAGTTCTGTTTCGTATAGAGAAACATTTCGAATCACCGCATTTGTCTACTACTTGTTTCACATTGCTGTGAATATGGTAATAAGAAACTAGAAGCAAAAGAGAATTTTAAAATAAGTTTTTCCGATCAAAATATGTTATTTATATTGTTTTTGTGTGTTAAAATATGTGTGTAAAAATATGTTATGAATCAATTGTTTCTATACCATCCACCATTGTATGGAGGGTATATTAAGTTTGTCATTCCGTTTGTAACACCTCAAAATATACATTTTAGACCCCACAAAGTATATATATTCTTTATCAGCATAAAATTCTATGTCGATCACTCTAGCTATGGGAATCACTCTAGCTTCCGAACGAATTGAAGTAGGTTGAAAAAATTTTACGGTCCACGTCTTCGTATAGCCCCCATATTACGGTATCCCCGATATTTGGGATTTTGATTATTTTAGCGACATTATTTACAGGAATTGCTTCAAATTTGGTATTTTAGCGACAATATTCATCAGAATTCTTTAAAAATTTGATATTTTATATTCGTAATAGATGCTGCAGCCTATGACATGAGATTGTCTGTGCAGGTCCACGTCTTCGTATAGCCCCTATATAACGGTACCTCCCGATATTCGTTATTTTAATGATATTAACAACATTATTTACCGGAATTGTTTCATATTTGACATTTGAAATTCGAAATGGATACTACAACCTATAACAGAAAATTGTCTGTGCAGGTCCACGTTTTATAACTCCCATGGTACCTCCCTATATTAGGTATTTTGATGATTTTTAGCTATTATAAACAGATTTTCTTTCCAAGTTTCGCATTTGAATATTGTAATAGCTTATGACAAAAGTTGCCTATGCAGGTCCGAGTATAAACCCTTATATATGGCTACATTCAGTAGTTTTAAGATTTTAACAGAATTTTTAACGGATGCCATTGTTTTGAAAATTACCAAATTTGTTCCAAATGGTGGAGGGCATTCAAAGTACGGCCCGGCCGAACATACAGCTTTTTACTTGTTTTTTTTTCTGTTTTGCTTGTCTTCGGACTCAGAGTATGATTACAACGTGACATTTATAAGGAAAAATATTCGTGACAAAATCAATTCTTTAACATCGCCTGAAGTGGTGTATTCCAAATGTAATAATGCTTACTTTTTCATCAAATTATTCTTTCGTTTTTTTGCGCAAAAAACACAACACTTTCTTTCAATTTCAAATGCGATGATTTGGCCCAATATTAGTTATATTTTAATTGAAACAAAGAGATAACAGCCTTCATTCCACGAAGTGGGAAATTTTCTTTAAAATTAACTGGTGCCATTCAACTTCAAACGATCGCAAATATCTCGGAAACTAAAAGACTTATGACTCTGGGAATTTTTCCATTATATCGCGAAACATTTTTTACACTAAAAACAGTTCTAATATTAGTTGTATTTAATATAAACAAAGGATAACAGCCTTAATTTCAAGAAGTGGGTAATTTTCTTCAAAACTGGCTAGTGACATTCAACTTCAAACGATCGCAAATATCTCGGAAAGTAAAAGACTTTTGACTATGGGAATTGATCTATTGCACCGAGAAACATTTTTTACACCAAAAACAGTTCTAATGTTAGTTGTACTTTATTTAAACGAAGAGAAACCGCCTTCATTCCAAGAAGTGGTAAATTTTCTTGAAAGTTGAAAGTTGACTCTGGGAATTGCTCCATTTAGCGAACCGAAATTGGTTTAAAAAAATCATATTTAGAGAGAATCAAAGATTTTCTAAAACTATACAATTTTCATAATCGAAAAGATATATCTAACAAAAAAAAAATCAGTGAGATTTAAACGTAATGTTGTAAGAAAAGTTCTTAAATTTTTTACCGGATACTGAAAATTCAAAACCAAGTTTTTCGACGGTGTTTGTGTGTTATAACTTTAGCGAACCGAAATTGGTTTAAAAAAGTCATATTAATTTCAAATTATCAAAGATTTTGTAAAACTATACAATTTTCCGATATTGACGTAATCAAAAAGATATATCTAAAAGAAAATGTTTAAAAGAATCCGTGAGATTTAAACGTAATGTTGTTCAAATATTTATGCTGAGTAAAGTAAGAAAACCATACTTTCAAATGCTTATAAAACGTCTAGTTTTTTATTTACCTCTGGGTTATGTCCAAAACTGAAAGCGCGATCCAAAGTTTCTTTGCACCCTTAATTTTTACGATATTGGCGCAATTAGGAAGACAAAATTTATCAATAAAAATCTTCGAGAAAGTCCGAAAAATTAAGAGACACAGTATATTTATTTTGGGTATTAAAATATCCTAATTTATAAAACATGTTTGTTCATTTATTCAATTAAATTCATAATTCTTTAATAATAAGATAATAAGAATTTATATGTATTACTTATTGTATTTTTATATGGCTTATAATTAATATTAATGACTATATAATGCAAATACAATTTTAAGACAAAATAGTATTAAAATGGTATATTCGTTCGAACTGATTTCAAATACCATAGACAGTCCTTGTTATGCTGATTACAATGAAATTTATACTTCGAGATTAGGGTTATGTGTACCAGTAGTCGGTACTTTAAGGATATACTCATTTCATCCAAATTCAAATGTTTCAAATGCAAATGGATTGGATTGATATTAACTGCTATATTTTGAAATTCCGTATACTTTTAGATGAAAGAAACAAAATTTAAATTAGTACTTATTGAATTGGTGACATTTTCAAATTAAGTAAAATAGTGTTTTTGCCAGAAATCGGAAATTCCAATTGTCGGCCTGATATGTTCCTATAATCAGCATACCGAATTTTTGGAAAGGAAAATAATATATTTTATAAATTTTTATTTAAAACAAATTACATAGAAAAATTAAATTACTGAATGCTTCGTGTTTTCTCAAGGTGTCAAATCTCTGCCAACAGTAGGACCTTTTTATACTATTGTCGACAGGTCCGCATATCCATTATAAAATTTGAAGAGATTTCACTTTAAAAATGTGTCTTACAGTGGATTTTAAAGCATTTGTTTCACATTTTCCAATTTTCGGTTAATTTTTATTTAAAACAAATTACATAGAAAAATTAAATAACTGAATGTTTTTTGTTTTCTCAAGGTATCAAATCTCTGCCAACAGTAGGACCTTTTTATACTACTGTCGATAGGTCCGCATATCCATTATAAAATTTGAAGAGATTTCAGTTTAAAAATGTGTCTTACAGTGCATTTTAAAGTATTTGTTTCACATTTTCCAATTTCCGTACCATGTTATAAATATTTTACAATGATTTTCTTTTCATAATTCTTTATGTTTTTTTATGAATATGCATTGCTTTGTTTGTACTGAAAAATCTTCACTGACATGAATAAAAATTTAACCAAAGTTAACTGACATTATATTCGAAGCTTGTATTTATTTATTCTTATTTGCTTGAGTTTAAGTATAAAAAACGCATACTACTGGGACATACCGATCTTATGCTCATTTTACTTGGATCTTGAAAATTTTGGAATTATATTGATTTTGTCATTGCAAAACTTATTGCATTGGTAAATTCGTCAGAGAATTAAATATCATGATATAAATACGGTCTAAATAATAATTCTTATACTTGCTTAGACGGCTAATAACTTAAAATACAAAAAAAAAAAAAAATAAATAAAGGTATATATCAGGGAATTTAGGATTCCTATGACAGGCGCTTAACTAGGCTACACGAATCTATTTTTTTAATCGTAAACCTGACAACCTGGTTTTACCGCAGTATATTTCTCACTATCAGCTTTAAAACAATACCACGATAATCTATAACAGGGAGTTTAAGACTCCCTCCTATGAACAGGCGCTTTACTTAGCTACACGTATAAATTTTTTAAATCGTAAAATTATTTTTAACTCGACAGGCGGTAAACTCGGTATTTCCGCTGTATAATTCTCACCATCAAATTTAAAACAATACCTATAATTTTTAAATTTAAAAATGATAAGGAAATCCATAAAGTTGCAACTTAAGACTCATATCTTGACAAGCAAACATTTGTTTGAAAAAAAAAATATATAGTTGTGAAACTGCATAACCTGGACAGCTGAAAGGTACTTCTTAAGGGAATTAAATTCTATATTTATGTAAGGAAATACAAGTATTATAAAAATTTAAAATTTTGAAAACATCATCAAAAAATTGCAATGACAAGAGACAATATTGGGATCAAACACAATAAGAGAAATTTAAAATTGCTAAAGCGTTGAATAAAAATTAGATATTGACTATACATTTTACCTTACACCCCTACCTAATACGCACACTTTCGACGCTTTTCATCACAAAAGTTAAACACACGTATTTATATGAATGCTACTGAAATGCGTCCAACATACACATTTTCAAACTTGAACAATTTCAACATTTATGTTTTTGTATGTTGAAAGTACAAACGATCGAATTATAAAAAAAGTGAATGTGTGCAATTGGATAACGTTAAAATTGGAAGAATAGTTTAGTTTTTAATATATTGTTGTAATTTATTTTGTTGTCGAAGACCTTTCGTAATTGGGTAATACGTCCGCACTAAACATTTGACCATAGTAGGAAAGGTGAGCATTTTCAAAACGGTGCTTCTTGTTTTAGGTAAGATTGTTATACACAATTACATCTTTTACATATTCATCTTTGAAATAATATATGTATAGTCACATTTGATCGCAATGTTTAACGACAATATAAAAATTTATTACTAATTCAAATATAATAATCACAGATTGATATATAAGTGTTTAAATGGGTGACTTGTTTTATACTCGTTTGGGGTTTCTAACTTGTTCATAATTTATGCCGTTTATGTCGCATTGGATGCTACTACCTTCCTTAATTCCAGATTCCATGTCCGTTGAACGAGTATTGTTACACATTGAATTTGCAGTGGCTGAAAACAACAAGTTCTTGGATTTACGAAGAACGCCATATCCTAAATGTGTGTCATCGGCTTTGCGGCATGAATCTGTGTCTGGCACACTTATCAGCTCATATTCATTTTGCAATGATTTTGTCGACATGCACTGGTTTGCAATGGATGTAACTGGCACTATAGTCTTGTATCCGCTGGAAGTTCTATTGTTAGCCGTCAAGAACTCGAGTCGATCGTAGGTTAGATCTGTTGGTACAATGCTTGCAACATTTTTGCTGCTTTCACCTATATCAATATCAAACATTATCGACGTAGATCCTGGGGCTAAACATTCTTTTACCTTGTCTCTTGCATATATTACTTTTTCCCGACCCTTATTAATGACTTGAAAGGTCTTGGTAGTCGATATTCGTACATTTTCATTATGTTTTACTTCGTTTATACCTAAAGTTTTCCACGCTTCGGTTATATTTTCAATACATTCATAATCTCGTTCAGCTAAATTTTCGCGAAATGTAACTGCTTCTGATGCAGGGTCTGGCGTGAAGGGTAAGTTCGGAGATGTCGGTTTAAGTATGACCGTAGATCCGACTGCTTTATTCGAATCACTTGTTGTTATTGTTACAGCATCAAATTGCTTATACTTTGCGTTGTCGCATGTATTCTTTTGTTCGCTTTTCAAGGGTATACACGGAGAGTCAACGGCAAGAGGTGGTTCTGTCATAGGCGCAATTCTACGAGGTGGTTTACTGGGAACAAGGGTTAACCCTTTAGGTATTTGACTCGAATTGTTCTCTAGTTCGGAAGAACGTTGTGTGGAATACGAAGGTGGTAAAGGGCTACGTGAACCAGCTTCCATTGATGCAGCCGCAGTAAGTTGATTTTCGCAACTATCAATATTAATAACATCACCAGATATTAGTTTTTTCATACTTTTCATTTTGGACGACATGCAACGAAAAACGTCTTGAGGGCTTGTATGATCCAAAATAAATATACCCTCACCAGTTGAACACTTTCTACCAGCTTCAAATGTAAATTTTCCGTCCCGATATCCATATTTGCGAATAAACCGATACGGCCAATTAGATATTACATTTTTGGAACCACTAATTGACTTTAATTGCAGCTCAGTTGCCGTTAAATGTAGCATATAACATTTGGGATCGATGTTACAACGGTTTGAAGCTTCTGTTGGAATGAGAGATACAATAAAGAGTCCATCTTCGTAGGAGCTGCAATACAAATCATTATCCTCTTCGATGGCAGATAAATTTTGAGTATTTTCATTTTTGTTACGAAATGCAACATTTTGCAGGGCATTAACCCATTCCATTAGACATTCCTCATTGATGGCATTAAGGGTCAATGTCTCATTTTTTTTTACAATGCAAATAAGGTTTGCTGGAGGTGGTTCTTGAGTTATTTTAACACAGTTTTCCAAAGTAATAATTTTTGGATATTTGTCATCCTTTGTCTCGCATATTTCTAGTCGCTCAATTCCGTATCGACTTGATTTGAAGAGCAAACAATATTTCTGGCACGATTTCTATAAAAATATGAGATAATAAAAAAAATTTATATTATTATTATTATTATATAACTATATATACGAAACAATTTTCAACATTTGTTATAGGAGTGTCAAGCGGCACAATAGCGGAGTTCACCAAAATAGCAGACTCAATTGTACAACTGTCTCACCAACACAAGTAAGTAAGGTCACAAAAGACGAGGACAGTCGCATAAAAGAACAGCGTACTGTTACAATAGAGTCAAGCAAGCTTCTTTAGAGCACTTCCAGAAAAAAAGCATTAGCATATAAAAACTAGAAATGCACAGGAGGTAAAATGTTTAATGAAAAATGAACAGAGTTGTTCTGTGTACGTGTGACAGGTCGGATGGAAGTGCCTTTGGTTACAGGAGAATCAGTTAGATATCCAGCTTTCTGTCGCTGATTTGCCAGTGGTTTAGAAATCGAGGAAAAAGGTGTGATGACGAGAGATATTATTTATTTATTTATTCTATAAACTTATGGATAATTCCTTACAGACTATATATGCATTATAATTATAAAATAATTATAGAATTATACCCATAATGGCATTATAAAGAAATGAGACATTTTTAACTTTTCTACCGCTTTCCAGAGTTGACAGCTTGATCAGCGAGAGTCTATGAAAAGTTCAAACATGGTAAGCAGAAAAGTAGGAATTGTTTTTGGACAGACTCGATGCGGTCGCTGTGTGTTTTATAAATATGACTGTAAAATATTCCAAAATTGGGCGAACAATTGACATGTATAATTTTTCACAAAATCGAGAACTGTTTTTGCTTTGTTGATGAAAACAGAAATATGAGAATTAAAGTTAAGTTTACAATCCAATACGACTCCAAAATCAACGAAGGTATCAACCTTAATATTGCATCAGTTAGAAAACGAATTCAAATCATTTTGGAGCAACTGGTTTCTACATATCTCCGGTAAGCTTTGAAATGTTTTCAAATCCTCGACATACTTTGAAATATTTGAAAATTTTATAGATGAAGGTAGATCATTTATAAATAAAGAAAAAAGGAGTGGTCCTAAATGGCTTCCTTGTGAGACTCCAAATTAAACTATAATACTTTTCGAAATGACAGAAAATCCACTCGGAACTTCTATTTGTAATTCCAATATTTTTTAGTTTTATTCGTATTAGTTATGATTATGTTTCGGTACACTAATATCAATAAAATCGTATAACTTTTTGTAAATTCATTTACATCGTAAGTGCCAGACAACAGGATATCCCAGTCTGTGTTATGCATTAGTTCACGTAACTGCTCAAAGTTTGTTTGAGCACAGAAAAACGTAAGGATTTCTCAATTTGAGTCATGGGTATGATTTGTTTGTTGATTGTTAGACGGTGCTGGTCTTCGGGACCTGTTAACGGAATGTAACATTCATCCACTTAATTTACAAATATGAGGTCCAATGCAATTACTTGAAAATACCAAGATAAACAAGTACAAAAACTGTAAGTTCGGCCGGGCCGAACTTTGAATACCCTCCACCATTTGTTACAAATTTTACAATTTCCAAAAAAAAAATAAATAAAATCTGTTAAAAATTCTGTTAAAATCTTAATAAGTTATTACAATATTTAAATGCGAAACTTGAAGAAAATTCTGTTTATAATGTAGCTAAAATCATCAAAACACCGAATATAGGGGGTACCGTTATATGGGGGCTATACGAAGACCTGGACCTGCGCAGACAATTTTCTGGCATGGGCTGAAGAATCCATACGAACTTCACATGCGGTACCGTTATATGGGGGCTATATGATAACTTGGACCTACATGGCCCATTTACGAACTTAACCTGCCTACTGGCAAAATATACATGTGTGCAAAATTTTAGCCTTCTATCTCAATTTGTTTGAAAGATAGCGTGATTACAACAGACAGACGTACATCGCTAAATCGACTTAGAATTTTACGATGGTCAAAAATATATATACTTTGTTGGGTCTGACATGAGTATTTCGAGGAGTTACATACGGAATGACAACGTTAATGTACCCTCCATAGTATGGTGGAGGGTATAAAAATGGTAATTCGACCCTGTGGAACGATTCGGCCTGAAGAGTGTCTATCCATTGATCTATGTTTAAATACCGAGCATGACAGCATGCAAAGACATGTATCATAATAATATGGGACATTTCATTGTTGTTTCGACTAAATATATGGCGCTGGTAGTCGAAAAAATATGTTGTCATCATACCATGGCATCATCGTTTTTATAGGGATTTTGCTGTTTTGAATCGATTAAGAGTACACGAAACTGCCCTGGGCAGGCATAAAATCAAGCATAGATCGGCCTCTTTTTCAGCGTTGCAGCGCACACCGTATCACTATATCAACCATTCAGCACAGGCAGCTTGATGAATTTAATTTGAAGTTTGTTTACTCGGTTGAGCTAGAAGAGTCTGATGCTGGTAGAAAACAGGGCATAACAATTGTGAAAAACTTCGGGAAAATTTTTAAAACCACATACGGGCCATTGTAGGTATGAATCAGCTAAGGACGAAATAAGTACTTAAAACCAAAAACGTGTGTTGTTAACTTGAGATCTTTGGAAACAAATGTCGACTTTGCAGTGTAATGTGAAGTTTTCGTAGGTTGAGTATTCTTCATGGCGTTGCGAATTAGCTAGAATGTTATTAGATTTGCTTATGAAGAAAAATTCTTCTGGGACACTTAAAGTGGTACCGTATATGAACTCTGCAGGTGTTTATGTGTAGTTTGTGCACCACGCTCAGGCCAAGTAGGAGTTGGAACTTACGATGGCAGATCTTAAAGTCCTTTGCCACATCTCTATCAGGCCATTGAGGGTGATATGGTTTTGTTTTTAAGTGTGTAGCTCCAATCATTTTCATTATGTAATGGTTGAAATTTTTAATTTAATTGAATAATTTTAATTTATTTAATACATTCTATTTAGGGTAAAAATTTTACTGCGATGTCACATTCCCAATTTCGCAAGCCTACTCGTCATCATTTCCAGCCACGGCGAAAATTATCCAGTAAAATTAACAATTGCAATTTTGATGAGTGCTGATACCACAAGAAGTATGGACATAATGACAGAAAATGTCTCCGTCCATGCGAACATAAGCAGTGACAGGTACACGCTACTACGTCACACCCATTCCAGCTAAAAATCATACAACTTTTCGGCTTCAAGTCACTGATAGATGGACTCGCAGAAATTTTCTGGTTGACAGACCAGATTTTCTTTTAAAGCTTGGCTTCCATAAAAGCTTCAGTAATTCGCCCGACAACCGCAACGTGTATGAAGCCAACGGGTGACCAAATAAAGGGGACGGTGAGACGAACTGAAACCGTGGATTTACTTGGATTACCTTGGTCACAGATATTCACAGGTACAATTACCGTGGACTTCAGAAACTGCCTTAAAACGTTTTGCACAAATAACCCGTTTGCAGATCTTGTACAAGAATTTCACGACATCACAGTGTTTTCACCCTATGGTTCCAGCCAACATTTTGTAACCCTTGTCAGTTAACAGTTGAAAACCTCGAAGATGCGAAAAAATAAATTTCGTTGCAAAGCTAATTTTTTTCGACCCTCCATAATCAAATTGAGCAGCCCGCTACATATGGTAAGAAAAAATGTTTCATCAATTTCCAATTCACCCTGATGACGTTGCTAAAACGACGATTTGTACTCCATTTAGTTCGTATGAATTCAAATGTATGGCATTCGATAGTATGACATTCGAAACGCAGCAAAAAGAATATCCGAAGCTGGCCACCGCTCAAGAACACAAAAGATTCATTGGTATGATGAACTTTTACAGAAAGTTGTCGCCGCACACAATGACATACCAAGGAGCTATGCAAGGCATGATTACAGGTAATAAAAAGAACGACACAACTGTATGGTCTGCCGATACGGAAAGTGTTTCTGAGCGGTGCAGAATTAGTTGTTTACACTGACGCCTCAACGTCTAGCTTTATATGCTAATGTTTCATATGCTAAGGAATAGATAGATTTCAGCAGAATTACACAGATTTTCTAGTTTCAAATCCCGAAGTCGGATGAGAATCTACAAACGTCGAATGAAAATGTTATACATTTCGTGGCTAGGCCAACTAGTATTTTTTCCATTTCCTAGACCCATTAGTTATTTAGAAATATTTTTGAATGATTCGTTGGATTAAAGTTGTACACGCATATTATTTTATTTATATTCAATTAACACAGTTACCTAGCCCACAGGGCCAAAAAAACTTCTGTACATGACTCTAATTAATTAATGTACGAACATGGCTCTAAAGAAACATGTTCGATCTAAAGCTTCCAAAGACTTTTTGTAGGCCACTCTGCTCTCATCCCAAAGTACAATTTCGAATGATCGGAACTGAACCGATTTTAATATATCACAAATTTGTAGACCAAATTCCGTCATACACTCCAAATTTCATTAAAATTTGACATACATAGCGTGTTTGAGACATGAAATACATGAAATCGGCCGAATATAAATATGGTAGCTATATCCAAATTTCAACCGATTTCAAAATAATTTGGAACGTTAATTGCTAGAATAAATTCCATTACACATTCCAATTTTCATTGAAATTGTACATTCATAGCGTATTTGGTGCATCAAATACATTAAATCGGACGAAAATATGTATCAGAGCTATATCCAAATTTGAACCGATTTCAATATAATTTGATAAATATATTTTTGTACCAAATTTCGTTACTCACTGCAAATTTTATTTCAATTGGACATACATATGGTGTTTTGTACATAAAATACATAAAGTCCGTCGAAAATATACATGGGAGCTATATTCAAATCTGGACCAATTTCAATATAATTTGAAGACTGTATCGGTTATTGATCAATAGATATGTGCAAGTAAGGTCTAAATTTTTTGGAGGCACCTCCGATTCTGATGCTATATCTCCAGTTGCAAGTAGGATTTCAAAAACTTAAATGACCTAGTTACTATCAGGCAATAG